CAAATACTATGAAAAGTAACAAACTCAAGGCTAAGAGAAAAGAAGTTTAAATGCAATAAAATTAAGGACCTCATAAGAAGTAGCTTAGAGCCAGAGGGTGGCCGTAATCCTAGCACTTTAGAAGGTTGAGGTGGGAGGTTGCTCAGGAGTTTGAGGTTACCAGGAGCTTTGATGATGCCAGCGCCCTGTAGCCCTGGGGACAGAGTGAGACCCTGTCTCACAACAAATACAAAAAAGAATAGTTAAGAATAAGAGAAAAATTACCAATGTTTACTTATACTATATGCATATATAGAATATGTTATATGTGTATATATATATAGAGAGAAATATATTCAGAGTAAATAAATTCTCTGAATACATTTATTGATTCCAAAGCTCCCCAAACAACATAAGTCACAGAGACACACATACACACACACACACAGAGAGACACACGGACACACACACAGATACACACACACACCCCTTTCTTCTAAGAGAGAAGAGTAAGGACGAGGAGGAGGTTCAGGCAACAACAGAGCAGGGAGGGAGAGAGGGGAAAGGGCACATCTAACCCTATTTATATGTACCACTGAGGTATATGTGTGCTATGCAATCTAAAGACATATAATCATATCTATGGGCATATATTTTTCCAATGAATAGAATAATTAATAGGCCCAAAGTTGCTGTTTTAAATAATCTAGGGGCCTAAACATTTGTGACATACTGCATGCTGAATCGTGCATCCCCCAAAATTCATACATTAAAATCCCAACTCTAGTACCTCAGAATGTGACTGCATTTGGAAACGGAGTCTGAAGGTTAGAATGAGGTCATTACAGCCATCGCTAGTCCTGCGAGACTGTTGTTCTTAGAATAGGTTTGGACACAGGCATGCATAGAAGGAGAGGTGTGAAGATACAGAGACAGCTGTCCACAGGCCCAGGAGACAGAGTCTTACAGTCCTCAGGAGGAACCGACCCTGGTCAACCCCTTGGCCTTGGCCTTGGCCTTCTAACTCCAGTACAGTGAGAAGATGAGTTTCTGTTGTTTGGGACGCCCAGGCTGCAGTAGCTTGCTGGGCAGCTCTAGCCAAATAAGGCATCATCTAACTACATTGTGCTGGACAGACGGTCACTAACC